TGCATGAACGCTGTCAGCCAACTGAGGAAAAAATGGCTAATATAAAACAATATAATGTACACGTATATATAACATAACACAATCATGCCGATTACATCATCTTTCCTTGCCGAATATAAAAATGTAACACGTGCATTCTTGTGAATTACAGTATATTAACACTGTCACAGCAGGAACACATATAATTACCGTATCTCTAAAACTTGAACTAATATTGAAAAAATAAGTTTCATTCCGGTTTTAGCACATAAAAAATAGTAATATTTTGTTGATTCTATTTAGGATATTTTTTGGCTGTTGATCAGTGACATTTAAGGGCGTGAATCTACATGAACAATTAATGGCAGTTTCCTTTATAAACTAGGGGTCCAAAAATGTTTTCTTCACAAAAATTTTTTAGGAAAAAAATGGAAATTAAGTATTATTTTCAGAACTGCTTCAGATATTTCAGTGATATTTAGTACGTAGTGAAAGTTAATAATGTTGCATATTTTTCAATGCAAAAATAATTTTTACCGTTAACAGTGGCGTGCGTACGGATATTGACTTAGATATTTTTTAAGAAAAAAATGGTACGCCAATGGTTTTTTGCCAAATAAAAATATTTTTGAATTTTTCGTTCAATTTAAAACAAATGGTCTCTCTTGAATTGTTTTCTTTTGATGCGCCATTTTTGAGCAAAAAATACAAACCGTTCTATAGTCCAAAAAAATAAATGTAATAATTGAAGAACGCAATTTAGCAATAAATATCTATTTACTCTGAAATATGTCACTGGCTTTTGACATCTGACAAGTCTCTGTTATTCAAATCTGTTCACTGTGACATCTTTCTCATTATTTAGTTTTGACAATCTTGTTAATAATGGTGAATTATTCAAGTGCAGGAATGGCAGAAATGCATTACGTATATGCCCTTGCCGACGGTAATGGTGAGCAAGCCAGACGGATTTATTTGGTATATTTTTATAATTTTTTGGGCTGTCCTGTAATTGTCAAACCTTATTTGATTGTCAATCAATTTTCTCTAAAATGCGGTTACTGGAAGAAACGCGTAAAGGTATCTCAGCATCAATAGACCAGATAGTTACAGTGGATGATTGTACATTGATATACCTAATCGAAACGCTGTAATTCAAAGGCCAAAGAACGGCTTAAAGAAGACGCGAAGATCGCGATGAGTAAAAGCCTGGATCGATTTTTAATTGCAGCCTTCGCCTTGACTTAGTTGGAAAGAAGGAGAGGCAGGAGAAGAGATTTTCATTAACGCCCGACATCGCCGTTGCTGAAAAATATAGGACGAGGCACACTCGAGACGCAGTTCGTAGACTCAGCCAGATATAATTTACTATTTATTTACATTTCGTAGCTGACGCTTCAGAGGAAGAAAGTTTTCTTTGAAGGAACGTTCATTCATAACGGAAAGAGGCAGAGTACGGGCTAAGGATGATATTTTGTTTCTCATGCGCATCCAAATTTGAAGCAATACAATTTTTGGACTATTATACAGTCAAAATCACGAAAAGGGTGTAGGGTGACGTTGCAGTGCAATAGTAAATGATTTTCTTTGATCAAATAATTGCGACAGAAACTCCACAAAGAATAGTTGTCCGCCGTTAATATACAAAGTGACATATAAATCCGAACACCCAGTTTAAATGGTTTTATTTTAATAAAAGTTGGTGAATGTATTCATCTTACTGTAAATAACAAGTGGAAAAACGTTCAGCCTGATCAGTTGGACATTCCGGTTTTTATACTGCTTTTTTTTAATTCACTAACGCTCTAAAAATGAATATTTCAGCCGCAGTAAAGAATCAACGTTGGCGGATTTTGGTTCTTGACATCCTTTACGATCGGTTACGATGCCTAGAGTACGGAGACCTGTACGATTTCGTCAACTTAGGGAGTTTGATAGGGGCCGTATAGTGGGACTTCGGGAAGCTGGACTTTCTTTTCGGGCAATTGCAGTTAGAGTGCAAAGAAGTGTAGACACTGTGGTTAGGTGTTGTCAGGCATGGCTTCGAGAAGGCCGTACGCAAAGAGCAAGGGGCACTGGACGCCGCCGTAGAACAACAGACCGTGAAGATCGCCGCCTAAGATTATTGGCCTTAAGGGACCGTTTCTCCACTACCAGGTCCATTGCAAATGAATGGTTTGCAGACCACGGAAGACCTATTGGCATGCGAAGTGTTTACCGACGAATGAGAAGTTTTGGCTTGTTTTCATACCGGCCATACTGGGTCCTCCCTTTAACTCGAGAACACCGACGTAATCGCCTTGAGTGGTGCAGACAACGGTCACTCTGGGATCAGGAATGGAACAGTATTGTCTTTAGTGACGAGTCTCGATTTTGTTTAGGCATGCACGATGGTCGTGCCAGGGTTAGAAGCCGACGTGGTGAAAGGAGGAATCCATAGTTTTTTGTTGAAAGACATGTTCATCACACTGCTGGAGTTATGGTTTGGGGTGCTATAGCTTATGGTTCCAGGTCACCTTTAATCTTCATCAGAGGTAACATGAACGCGCAGCGTTATATCCACGAAGTTCTAGAACCCCATCTCTTACCCTATCTTGACACCCTGGCAGATCCAACTTTCCAACAAGATAATGCCCTACCACATGTTGCAAGAGTCACAATAGACTTCTTTCAACATAATGATGTCACATGGCCACCAAGATCTCCCGACTTATCCCCAATTGAGCACGTGTGGGATATGATGGGTAGGAGATTGCTCAATTTGCAACGTCCTCCTCAGACTCTAGAAGCACTTCGAGAGGAGTTGGTGGTTGCCTGGAATGAGATACCACAGGAGGACATTGACCACCTGATCAGAAGCATGCCTAGGCGCGTTGGAGAATGTGTAGCACATCAGGGTGCATCCACACATTATTAAAGGTCAAAGGGCTTTAAAGCAGTGCAATCATTTTGAAATTTTAATCATTTACTTATTATGCTTTATTAAGTACTTATACAAAATTTTATTAAAATAAAACAATTTAAACTGGGTGTTCGGATTTATATGTCACTTAGTATATTACAGAAGCACTAAACGATTTTAGCAGTAAAATCCATTAAAACAAGATACAGAAGCAAGCTCCATATTGATAGTGATCTACGTGATGCACTTTTCTCAGTTCAGCCCAGGATTGACAACCTTGTAGGAATCATCCAAGCTGATCTATCGCAATGTTCAAGACAATGATGCCTATCTTTCTTCATAACACTATCTACCTATATAAACACATTTTTCTATAATAAAGCATTTGATTAAATATTGATTTAACTTCTTGTTGTTGTTATTTATTTGAAATTGCTAACTCCTACTTATGCAGACGGGGTAGTGCATTGTTTCAGGTCCAAAGCGAGCGTAACAAAAATCGACTTGGAAACATCTGCTGACTAGGAGAGAAATTACATAAAGCCAACAACAGGATATTAGTCTATTGAATAATTAAATTTTTTTGTAAACCATTAATGCAGGTCAAACCCAAAGTCAATGCAGTGCCACCTTGAACTACTCGGGCTGGACTATTCTCAATACTCAAAATTTTGGTGAATGCGCTACAGGTGAATAAAGAGGTGCGCTTACACCATAAATTGCACTGAGGTGACCCTAGAGCATTGATTCCCAAAGTGGTCTATATCGACCCCTAGGGGTCTATGACAACCTGCAAGGGGTCTACGTCAGCGAAAAAAAATGTGTCCATGAAATGAATATGGGGGTCCACGATAGTGGATCTCAACACATACACTGATAGTACCTATTTACTTACATCATACTATCTTATAATATCAAAACATATACATTATTTATAAAAGTACCTATGAAGTAAAAAATTTATTATATAGGTTTATAAAATTGTGTAAGTTGTAGGATGTTGATATTCGCTTTGTGGTCGCAATACATTTTAAACTTGTAAAAACCTGAGAGTCGCACTCTCAGAGCTTCCCTACCTTGCACTCACTTGTTCAATTCGTCACTCTATAAATACGAATGTGGGACAAATACGTTTATTCGTTTCTTGAATCTTGAAAGGGAAAGTGCTAAGAAAATATTTTAAAAAATATAAACAGATAGTATATCACTCAAATTATAGTGAGTCAGTGTTATTTTGTTTGAGAGTGCTGGAGAAAAGTAAGTTCATTATTTTTTATTAAATTTTAGTTTTGTACTCGTAGTTAGCAAAGATAGATAAATTACGCCAATCATGACTAGTTATTAGTAGTTAAATATTCAATCATGCAAAATTACACGAGTACTCCTCAATAGTTTCTTTTTGAAAGTTTTAGCAATCGGTAATATAATTACAGTGCAATCTCCGTAATTCGAGCTAATTGTTGCAAGAAGATGTTCGAATTATGGAATGTTTTCGGAAAAATCAAAAAATATTTTTAATATACAGCTGCTGGATTTTCTGTCTTATTTAAATAATTTAATTTTGGCCACAGATGACTGATGCCATGTTCGAATCTAAAAAGAAATGTAGACAGTACAGTGTTGATTATTTGAAATTTGGCTTCATTCCATCATTGCCGGACAAACAATCGCCTATGTGCCTTTTATGCAACAAAGTTTTGGGCAATGACGCTATGAAACCATCTAAACTGCAAGATCATCTGAGAAGATGCCACCCTGATAAAACAGAGAAAGATTTGAAATACTTTCAAACACTCAAAGATAAATTTCAGAAGAGACCTACACTGGACAGAATGTTCGCTTCGACGTCACAAAGAAATGATGATGGTTTGCGGGTGTCTTACAATATCTCGTTACTTATAGCAAAATCCGGAAAACCGCATACTATCGGAGAGATGTTAATTTTGCCAGCCGTTGAAGAGGTTTTAAAAACTGTTTTGCACAAACCTGCATCAAATAAATATAATATCAGTAGCTAAAGATGGAGCACCTGCCATGGTTGGACGTTATCGTGGATTTATAAGCTATTTAAAACAAAAAGCGTCATCCATCGATAATATTTAGTTGCTAAAAATTTGAGTGCTAGACTGCATGAATCACTTCATTTAGTCATTGATGCAGTAAACCGAATCCGAAGCAACGTGTTGAATACGCGGTTATTTGCGCAGTTGTGTGAAGAAAATGACGAACACTTTCATCAATTACTCCTTCACGCTGAAGTACGCTGGCTGTCGAAAGGCTTATGTTTGACAAGATTTTTTACACTTTTTGAGACTATTTTAGAATTTCTGGATACTAAACATAAAATTTTAAAAGAAAATTTAATGAAGAGGAAAACAGACATCGCCTAATTAACAGATTTGTTTACAAAATTTAATATGGTTAATTTGCAATTACAAGGCAACAGTTTAAATTTCATTAAAACAGTCCATCTTATCAGCGTTTCTTGCCAGAGTTAAACTAATGAAGCAAAATACTGGACGGGGCGAATTTTCTCAGTTCCAGATATTTGTCACAGACAAGCTGCCAGGAAGACGATGTTCGACTTGCGTTCAACATTTAAATGCCCTCTATTTAGATTTTAAATCTAGGTTTGAGGATATTTTGACTATGGTAATACCACCGTGGATAATTAATCCATATGGTGACATAGAAGAAACGAATATCATAATACAAGAGGAACTGACTGAACTAAGTACAAACGAAGAACTTAAGGTTCAGTTTAAAAATGGATATCAGCAATTCTGGCTGCAAAACAACATACCCGTTACTTATCCCGTATTATGGAATATAGCGAGAAAATTTTTAATTTCCTTTCCATCGTCATACCTAGTGGAAAGGAGGTTCAGCGCTGTTACCAATCTCCTAACGAAAAAAACAAACAGACTAGATATCATTACCCGAGGAGATTTAAGATTAACCCATACAAAATTGACGCCAAATGTTGATAATTTATTTTTAAAGCATCAGGTTCATCCTTCTCACTAAAAATATTGGCGTATTGCTTATGTTATTTTATTTATAGTTTATTTTAAGTTTATTGGTGTCTGACCAATAAATACCCGCATTGGGAATAAGTGCCCGCATTGATTTTTTTAAAGAACCCCCCTTTATAGAAAATATTTTTCTTTAAATTATTCTGAAAGTTCAAGGATAGGTACACACTAAAATTCGTTAATTTTTTGCCTATTTTTAGATAACTTAAACGTATAAGAAGCGGAATTTAGTTAAACTAACAGTGAAATTATTGTAGAACGTACGTTTGTGTTATAAAAACGAACTCGCTTATTGTACTATTTTAAGTAAAAAACTTTTTTTTATTGTTTTTCACTTTTTTTTATTTTATCCCTCTTATTTTTTATCAATGCGGGCACTTATTCCCATTGCGGACACTTATTGGTCAGACACCTGTTTATTTAATGTTACGTATATTTTACATCACAGACACAAAATTTTATTTTGAGTAGTTTTAATTTAAATTCAATTGATAAATGTATAAATTAACATGTGTTTTTACTTTAAGTTTTTAACACTAAACTTCACTACAGTTAGAAATTTACAGGAAATCAATATCAGGTAAGTGGGGGTTCTACCCGACACGGAAAAATATGGGGTCTACGGCACAAAAAAGTTTAGGGAACTCTGCCCTAGAGCAACTCAGATGCTTAATCAAGTAATCTGCTCTCTAAGCATCACATGCATCTCTTCCGCTTGAATAAATAAAATTCTTATTAAGCATACCATTGTCAATGCCACCCAGATTCCCCCTCCAAAATTTCCGCTGTTGTGAATCTCGAAAAGTTCAACGACATCTTAAGATCATAATTCGCCGCTAACGAAAAGCAGCAGCTGACGGCGCGAATTAACCTTGAACCTGTTTTAAATAGGGCGTAAAAATAAATTATAAGAAAAGTTTTAGAAGCTCAACATCTCGGGAAACACTGAACTCTCATCGTCTGCTCTGCCATCTTCCGTCTCTCTCTTTCTTTCGGCTTTCCTCCCTCTAAATGATGCATTATTCATTTTGAGTTTTCTTCGCGGGCACCAGTTAGCTTTGCATCAGCGTGCGGGTAGATTTTTTTAGGGTATTTGTGTTTTTTCATTTTCAAGTGTTACATTGTGGTAAAATCAACGGACCAACCACTTTCTTGTATGGGGTCTTCAACAATTTTTCAAGACCAAGACCAGGACTGAGCTAGTATTAGTCTTGATCTTTCGGATCCAGTCTTGGCCTAGGTATTGCAAAATAAATGCAGGGTTGGTCTGGATCTTGCGAATCCCTACTTTTTTGGAACAAGGAATGTCCTGCGTTTAGATTTTTAGAAAGAAGAGGTCTAATCAAGTAACTTGATCTATGCTTTGACACACGTCTCAGGTTCAATGAGAAATTACATATTGTTAACCAGTTCTAAAGCTTTGAAGGAACTATACAGGGTGTTCGTTAATGATATGAGAATATTTAAGGGCATGAATCTATCTGAAAAATTAATGTTAGTTTGCTCCATAAACTATGGTTCAAAAATGTTTCCTTACAAAAACTCCGGGTGTTGAAGTTTTAGGAAAAACTTGGAAATTAATTAATATTTTCAGAACCGCTTCAGATATCGACAGATATTTAGTACGCAGTGAGAGTTAACAAAAGTTGCATATGTTTCAATGCAAAAATAATTTATAGCTTTAACAGCGTGCGTACGGGTATTGACTTCGATATTTTAAAAAAAAATGTACGCCAATGGTTTTTTGCCCAATAAAACTTATTTTTTAAATTTAAAACAAATGATCCTGAGTAAAAAAATAAAAAAACGTTCTATTGTCCGAGAAAATTAATGTAATAATTGAAGAATGCAATTTAGCAATAAATATCTAGGTGCTCTGGAATATGTCACTGGCTTTTGACGTCTGACAGGTCTCTATTATTCAAATCTGTTCGCTGCGACATCTTTTTCATTATTTAGTTTTTATAATCTTGTTAATAATGGATTATTCAAATGCAGAAATGGCGGAAATGCATACGTATATGGCCTTGCCGACGGTAATGGTGAGCAAGCCAGACGGATTTATCATCAGAGATATCCCGATCGTGCTTTTCCAGATAGTCGAACCTTTTCTAATATTCATCGTCGTCTTGTTAAAACTGGTTCTGTCCGAAAAGGAACATCTGAAGGTAGACCTCTAAGTGTGAGAGAACCTGAAATTGAGGAAGCAGTGCTGCACGAAGTCGAAGAACATCCTGAAACGAAAGATCGCTAGACACTTAAATATTTGCCATTAAATTGTTTGGAGAATTTTGGTGGATTTTTTGTTATATCCTTACCATATTTTAAGAGTACAGGTATTACTTCCCATTGATTTTCCAAGGCGTGTGATCTTTTGTCAGTGGTGAAACCACATATATTTTACTACGTCTCAAATATATGTGGTTTCATTGGGCAGACAGACATATGAGATATTACCTAAAGGTACATTCAACATGTGATATTGAATCTTAATTGGGTAAGGTACTCCCTGTGCCCCTTATCTACGTTCCTTTTTGAGCAAGGGAATGGGAGAAAGCGGAAGAAAGCGACAGCCAAGAAGTAGCGCGAAGTCTCTTAAAAATAATAAAATGCTGATGAGCGGCAATCTGTTGAATGCATTGCCTTCATCCAGCAAGAGAAAGTTTTCCGCGGGAAACGCTCCTTTCCTTCATCAAATTACTACAAAAGTTAAAAAGTTAATCTACAGTGGCGTCGATCGTATAGAAAAATCTGGACGAAAAATGGTACTTAAAAAAAAGTTTCATATTCTCAAAGCGATACTGATTCTGCCTCAAAGCAAATTTTCCTTATCTTCATTAAAACAAATGCGAGCCGAAAACTAAGTCGTTATAGGAAAAAGTAGATTGACGTATTAATTAATAATTTTATACTGTGATAGAGAAATCTTAATGTACACTCAATGCAAATTCTAATTTCTCGCAAAAACTAGTGGCGTACTGTTTCTTCGCATAAGCATAGACTTGCCAACAGGAACGCCACTGATTTAATTTTGATTTAAAAAAATAATTTGTACAAGCCAATGCAACCTTTGATTACACATGTTCGTGTACCAAAACTCATATGTACGAGTAGATCCCATATATGGGGGGATAGAGGACCGTAGATTTCATTCACTCTATGAAAAATACTTCCATAAGTTCAATATTCTAATGGGTGATTTTTTTGCTAGTATCTTTTTAGCAACACTGTTTTTGACAGATGACGCGTGAATCGTGTCTTGTGTCATTGTCAAACTTGTTTAGTTTGGTCTATAATTTAACCATGAATCGACTTAAGAACGAACAACGCTTGCAAATTATTGAATTTTACTACCAAAATTCATGCTCGGTTAAGAGAGTGCTTCGAGCACTGCTTCCAATTTATGGGCAATTTGGTCGGCCTACTGAGCAAGCTATTCGGAAGCTTGTGACTAAATTTCGAACCCAGTTTACATTATTGGACATTAAACTACCAACACGCAGAAGTAGAGTGAGGACTGAAGAAAATATTGCGGCTGTATCCGCCAGTGTTAGTGATGACCGTGAAAGGTCGATTCGCCGCAGTTCGCAGCAATTGGGCATTTGTTACTCCACTACGTAGAAAATTTTGCGACAGGATTTGGGTGTAAAACCTTACAAGATACAGCTGGTGCAAGAATTGAAGCCACACGATCTCCCACAACGTTTCCCATTTGGTGAATGGGCGCCGGCAAAGTTGGAGGAAGATCCACATTTTTATCGAAAAATTGTGTTCAGCGACGAAGCTCACTTCTGGTTGAATGGGTACGTTAACAAGCAAAATTGCCGCATCTGGAGTGAAGACCAGCCAGAAGCATTGCAAGAGCTACCAATGCATCCCGAAAAAATCACTGTTTAGAGTGGATTATGGGCCGGTGGCATCATCGGGCCGTACTTCTTCAAAGACGACAATGGCCGGAACGTAACTGTGAATGGCGAGCGCTACCGTGCGATGATAACAAACTTTTTTTTGCCCAAAATGGAAGAGCTGGACTTGACGGACATGTGGTTTCAACAAGACGGTGCCACATGCCACACCGCACACGAAACAATGGCCCTATTGAGAGGCGAGTTCGTTGAACAGTTAATTTCTCGTTTATGGCCCGTCAATTGGCCGCCTAGATCGTGTGATTTAACGCCGTTGGACTATTTCTTGTGGGGCCATGTTAAGGCTAACATCTACAGGGATAAACCAACAACGATTGACGCACCGGAAGCCAATATTGAAGCATTTATTCGTGAGATACCGGCCGATATGTTGGAGAGAGTGTGCCAAAATTGGACCCTGCGCATGGGCCATCTAAAGCGGAGCCGCGGTCAACATTTACATGAAATAATCTTTAAACATTAAATTATATCAACCGTTCTATCGACTCAAATAAAGATTTAATCGTTTTTTCAAATTTTTTGTGTTTTTTTGAAAATCAAATCCTATACCTCTTAAAAAATCACCCGTTATATGCATTGTAACTTTATATCGGAAATCAACAAACGTGAACTCAAATAGTACCATCGTGAGAAACAAGTTGTATTACTGAAATTAACATGCTTGAGTGCGGAGACCTCACAGGTTGACAAAGGAGTTTCCAAGACGGTGAAATAAAACTGAAAGATTTATGTTTGGAAAACATAGGTCTATGTTTAGGGGCCGATTGTACATGTATGAGTGGGGAAGATGAATGTGTGAAAATAATTCTTGAAGTTTTGCTGTGATCCAGAAGGAGAAGAGCCATATGTTCATATG